CAAATATATGTACATGTACTATATGATTATCGATAAATCGCAAACATGTTCGTTGCTTGATCGTTCCAATTATCGATTGTTTATGTAAGGCTTAATTTACACAATAGTACCTTTTCGTTTTAATTCAATTTTTTTCGTGGATATCATTTTAATTCGTTGGGCAATGTTGAAAAATTTAATTTATTAATTCTTGTCTAAATGAATCAATAATCTAATACTAGCAATCAATATTACCAATTATGACAGTGTTACCATCATACAGATAGTTTTCACAGAGATTAAACTTTCCTAAAGTTTAAATATTACTAAAATATTTAATATCTAATAACAATATTTAATAACAAAAAATTTTATATAAATGAATAATACATTTATTATTTTTAAATAAAATTAATTAATGTCACTGTTATTACCAAATTCGATTTAAAAATTAAAAATTCAATTCCTTTAGAAAGAATCAATTATTTCTTTCTCGAATTCAGTAATAAATTTAATATTTTTAAATAGACATTGCATCACTATTTATATTGGATTTTATATTAACAATTCATTACACGCTCGTCTATATTTACTGATTCTAGAATAAAATAAGTAAACAAGCGTTTATTTCCTTGTGATACAGTCTTAAATTTGTCTTGTTTTGTCCGCATTTTAAAACGAACGTTCACTTACTAAATATACACAATTTTTATACATACAATTAGGCATATTCGTTTGTTTATCGTTTACATTTTTGTTACTTTTATGTTAGACGATAAATATTGTGTTTTGCTTATTAATTGCATATCGGATAGATATACATATATTAACACGGATTGGTTTTTGTTTTTAAGAACGTAATTATCCGCGTGATATGGTTCATTTTATTTGTTCATGTTTTTGTTTATATTCTTTCTATTTTGGTTTTAAGTGGTCCGTAAATTTTGTGTTTGACGCAATAAGTAGTGCGTGATAAGGCCCTAAATATACATTCAAAAAATTCATAAAAACGTTTCGGCAGTAATGATGATAGACGCGTGCGAATCGCTCAATGATATCTTGTGTTTATATCGATATACAGTTATGAGAAAATCGTAAACATGTCTAAATCAGTATTGTGATAAATTCCAAGAATTTATTGTACTTTATCTTCATTCTTGAAGTGAAAGAATACTAATTATGGTAATTTATATGAATGATTTGCTTTTTGCTTAATATTATCGTGTCAATATTAATAGTAAATAGGGTTAGAAAATATTAAAATATGGTTTCGCGCCAAAATTTGTTGATTTTCTGTTTCTTAGCAATGGTATGTTCAAAAGTAGGAATAAAATTGTGCAAAGGAATTTCATGAACTATAACAGTTCTATTCGATAAATAAAATAGCGACATAAAAAAACATAAGTACATATAATTCTTGCAAAGAATGTGGCCAACAATTATTTTGACAATTTATAGTATAAATTTTTAATAGTATTCAAACATATTTTACTAAATATTTTTTATTAAATATTGATTTATGATTTCGCTATATTTCTGAACAGATTATATCTTAAAAAGCAAAAATTTAACATAGCATGATATTAATTCATATCTAAATTATTTTAACGTTTATTCTCATGTATACAATTGTGTCTATATATTGGAATGATAATATATTCGAGGACGGTTTTTTTTCATGTATATTATCAAAATCAAACATTTTCTATATAGTAGTATAATAACATAACAATATTAATAATGTTAACATTTAAATCTTTGTTAAACATAAAAGTTTAACAATGATTTGATTTCTTTTGTTTTCAATAGAAATGCTATTCGCACGTGTCTAAAAGATAATAAAGCTGCATATTACGTCACATTTATATTATTTAATCGTTAGGGAACTATTTACATTAAAAATCGATCTCGTTTTCGAATCTGAAATGATCTTTCGGCTTCAATTTACCGAATCGAAATCGTACTTAAAGACAATATGGTATTTTTTCGTAAATTTATAATTATGTGATTTATTTTTATACTACTAAGTACCTAATATTTGATTAAGCATACGCTGCTTTAATTCCCTTCGCTATATTTTTTAATCATTCGCTCTCGTATTACATATATATGACTGAAAAATGTTCTTTCTTATTTTTTAAAAAACATTACATCAGTATCAATATATGTATATGAGTATACGTATATATTGAGAATTTCAATAATCAAGTTTCACCTAATTTTTTGATTAAATCTTTGAACACAATTGGTATTGAATTTTTATTCTCTTATTATTTTTTTTTTTTGAATAGGTTTACAATATATAATTTTTTCAATGCTAAGGATATTATTAACATTCTAAAATAATGTTAATAAAAAATATAAAACGTATTTTTTTTATATTTCTCAAAAAAAAAAAAAAAGAAAGAAAAAAATTCTTGACTGATAAAACTAGGTGAAACTACATTATTGATTTTTATCATTGTTAAAATAATTGTTTGATTTCATTATATGGTCATATATATTCATGTATATATATAGAGAGAGAGAGTATATCAAAATAAGTGTCGTTTAAAATAATTATTCTGCAATAAAAAAGATATAATTTTTCTTGCAATGTAATTACAATAATTATATAATAATTAATGGAATAAATTGATTGAATATATAAACTAAATACTTATCTTAAATATGTAAAAAATATTGATTATAATCAATTTGATTTTCAATAGTTGCATAATATTAAAATTTAAATTACTTAAAAATTAATATATTTTCATATGCTTTCAATGATATATAATTCTATTTTTAATTTTATTATATTTTTAATAAAATAAATATATTTTTCAAGATTTTTTTTTTTCTGTATAATTATTCATCCGGCACTTTTTTTGTAATTACACTCCATATATAAGTTTCTCATAATTTTGTAAAGTACATTTTTTCCGAATAAACGAAGGAATTAAAAAATAATAATTAATCCAATCGAATAAGATAAAGGACGGGAAAAACAACGAATTTTCACGTTGCTATAATACGTAATAACAAATAAATTGTGTACATGTGCGCATAAAAAAATTGAAAAACAATTTAGAAAATGGAAGGAACTTGAATAATGTTCGTATAATATTGTACTTGATTTAGATAAGTGGCAACATAAATTTTTCGAAACATATTTTTTTTCTAGAAAGATTTTTTTGTTAGAAATTTCATTAAAATATGTATATGTATACGTATATGTACAGTTTTTTCTCAAAAAATTGAGCGTATATTTACTTTTGTGTACTTTTTAAATTATTATTGTAAACAATTCAAAAAAAATCAACTATTTGTTATGCATAATGACAATCCAATGTAAAATGGCTAATAAGAAACAAAAAACTAATATTACAAAAATTAATAATACAAAAATTAAATTTAAAAATTATATTTAAAAATTAAATCTTACAAAATAAAGTAAGTAAGGTAAAAATAAAATATATAGTTAGTAAAATACATTTTACAATTAAAAAATTATATATAATTTTTAACAAGAAATAATTCAAAATCTAATTAAAAAAAAAAAATTATCGAACTGTGATGAATGAATCATAAAGATTGTCATTGCCAATGAATTAAGATAAATCTAAAAATAAATTTAAATCGAAATTGCTTATAAAATAAATATATATATGTTATTTAAAAATTTTGTTATATATTATTTATTCATATATATAATAAAATATTATTTTTGAATATGTCTGTATTTATATTCCTATTGATTTTTGATAAATGACGCTCAATTCTATGAGTAATTATATATGGTTAACCACATATAACATAAAAATTTAATTAACAAATTTTAAAAATAAATAATAATTCCAGTACGAACAGTCAGAGAAATCATACTTAACGAATGATATAATTACAGACATATATTAAATTCAAAGATTACTAATAATTAAAAAATATTTAAACTTCTAAATGTTCAAAAATCATAATCATTTATCTTTGAAATCATTTATAATATAAATAATAATTAAAATATTTATATATTAAAAATCATTAGAAAGTTTTTATCAAAATATTGTATTAATTATTTAAAAAAATAATTTTCAAATATTTGAAATAATTATCACATGTGTTATGATAATTTAATTGATCCAATTATTGAATATCATAACATTAAGATAAATTATTATGCAAATAAACATTATAATTAACATTATTAATATTAATTGGATATAGATATGATAATATATATAAAATCCTTCTAATTATTTTTAAATAAAAGATTTTATATTTTTAAAAAAATATAAAACAATTTAATCTAGCATTAATTATTTAATTAGTTAATTAATTAGTTAAATAAGTTAATTAAATTTTGTTAATTATATGTTTGCAATAAAAATGTTAACAAATAATTAAGTTATATATATATACATAAAATTTGTAATTACTATTTTTTATGAAGAAATAAACATTGAATGCTTTACAAAGCTTATTTTTAAATAAATTATAATAAACACATATATTAAATATTGTTAAATTTTTTTCTAATATGTAAATTTTTTCTAATATATAAATGTTAATGATAAAAATTAATATTTTTATAATCTTATACTATAGCAATAAATTATTTAAAAATTGTATATGATGGATTAAAATTGATTAAAAATTGCTAATTCTAATGTAAACATTTAAATATTTGAATTGATTGAGATATGAACAAGCTTTAATATTTATATCTACAAATTCATGTGCATATATATAGATATATATACACAATATGTGCATTTAAGTACTTTATGGATAAAAATAATCAAATCATTCATATAAACGCGACAAAAATATCTAAAAATTGTATTAAAAATTACAATTAAAATATCATAAGAAAATTTATAAATTTCGAAATATATTATCAAGTATGTAATTAAAAAAATGCATTCTATTCAAATTACATGCGTTTATGCTACAATGAAATAATAATTTTATTAAAAATATAAAAGTATTTTTTAATTTTAAAACATTCTTCATTTAAAATATTGTATTATTATTTTCCTACATTTCAACATTAAAATGAATAAAATATGAACATAACTGAAAATATATTTCATTGTAGCTTCAACTTGTACAATCTCATTGAATCAAATCAATTCGTAAAATATATTAAAATAAGATTACCTGCAGACAATTGTACCATTTAACACATAGTTTCTGATGCTGGGGCAGGTACCGTATTCAAATTCTTATCATTTGGATCTGAATTTTCCGAATCTCGAATTGGTGGTCTTGAAAGCGTTTGTTCAATTTCCCTGGTCACGCTAATAGTAGGAGGAGGTCTTCGTGACTCTTCATCAATAGCAGAAATTCTTCGAAGTTGATGTCTATGTTCATTCGATATGAAGAATGAACCACCGCTAGCTTCATCCGAAACATGCAAAGGTTCGTCATCTGCAATGTATCTCCTCTGTATTAGATCTTCCATCTGTTGATAATCGCATTCCTCAGCATCACGTAAATGTTCATTCTCAATTTGCCAAGCCATTTCAGGATTTGACATTTCGGATAAGTTTCTAACCCTTGAAGGTGGTGGAGAAATTGGCGGTGTTCGAGGTGGACTTAAAAGACCACAATAACTTTCCAACTCATCTGTTATACTTGTATATTCAGCACGCATAGCTAGTAGAATAGATCTTTGCGTATTTGTTGAAGACACTGATGGAATTACTGCAACACGTGGTTCCGCCCAGGTCACACCTCTTGGTATGTTGGAAGGTAATATCATTATATCATCTGATTCTGAACGCGTTCTACTGTTCTGTCTGATGGGTCGTTCTATAGAATCTTGTCTAATAGGTTCTGAAGCTGGTGCTTCACTGCTGGCTTCTCTACTCGGTTCTTTACTTGTAGCATCTTTGCTAGTTTCTCTACTCAATTCTCTACTTGTTTGTCTACTTGGATCCGTGCTTGGTTCTTTACTACTTGGCTCTTCACTTGGTTCTCTGCTTGTCTCTCTACTATCCAATTGTGAATCTTTTTTTATAGTTTCTCTTTCACCATCGATTTTGCTAAATTCAGTTTCCTGGCTTGTGATTGTTTTTATATCATCTTGAATAATATGTCCATCTCCACTTATAGAAGATTCATTTCTACTCAAGTTTTCACGAGACGTAATAGTTTCTGAATGTTTCATTATATCATCATCTAATGATGGGCCTAAATTGAGAAACGTGGCATCAGTCATCGATCGAACTAATCTTTTGCGTTTAGCCGTGATAGTCGGTAATTGTGTATGAGAATCTGTCTCTGAGAGAACTTCTGAACGTTCTGATATTCTACGCTGGCGACCCTCTATATCAAAATTTGATAAACCCTCTATATTGGGCATATGAGTAGCCATGAATCGGTGGATAACTCCTAAATGTGCCAAAGTCTGTTCATTTAATTCTTCTAATTTGCGGATACGAAATTCTACTGCCTATAATAATATATAAAATTTTGTAAAATTTCTCAATAATAATTAAAATAAATTTATTAATGATAAAATAATTACCTGAAGTGAAGCATTTTGAGTATTTTCTTTTTTGTCAATATCTTCGATCTTTGAATGCATATTCTCTACTCTTTCTGTAGTAATTTTAACACGTTCTTCTGTAGACATTTGCAATTTCAATTCTTGCTCACGAAAATATCCTTCAACACAATCTTCCTCAAAATCATAGAGACGTTCCATGTCATCTGCTTCTAAGAATAACTTCAATCCATTGTCGTATGTTTCACCACTGCTTGCTTTTCCTTGTGTTATATATCGCAGCAAATATTTCACCACCAGATATATGTGACAAACTACAATGAGTGGAGGGGGTAAAACTGGTTTTTGTTCGTACTCCATAACAACAGTAAAACGTTGGAACATCCAAACTTGGTGCGCCACCGCGTTTACCTCATTGAAAATATTATTGAAAACCGCAATCAAAAGATTTATCAATAATATATTTGCAATTAAAAGATAAATAGACATTACAGCTGGTGTGATCCAGCGGCCTGGTAAGCATGGAATCATTCCTGGCTCATCTCCGCAATCAGGATCTATGTTGTCTGCATATACTTCTCCGTATAACATAAAATATGGTTCCATAAATATCTGTAGAATAAAAGAATAAAAAATCTTATATAGAATAAAAAAAAATAGAATGTATAAAATATTTTTTATAAAATAAAATGTTTTATAAAAAAAATATATATATAATATATAAATATATAATATTTGTAGAGAATACATACATCACGAATAATTCTAAATTTAGGTTCAGCATTAGGATTCAAAATTGCCTGTCTAGTAACTCCAAAACTCAGTAATACCACTATTAAAAGTACCACAAAATATGTCATATTTTTTACCATTTTTCCCATCATTGTAACTAAAGGACCTAAATGTTAAATATAACATATATTTATTATATTTTATATTTGTTATACTATATATTATGCTTGTATGCTTATTTTTTATATAATTTGTATATATATATTTGTATAATAACATACCAAAATATTTATTTACACCAAGGATGTTTAGTATTCGTAAGTACCAATAAATACAGTCGACACAATAAATAACACGACCGACATCAAGAGTAGAATGTCTTAAGCGCAAAGCCAAACCAATTTGAAAAAATATAATAGCAGCTGCGTCACAGGGATTCCACATATTCCACGCCCATACACTAAATTTATGCGAAAGAGTAGCTGGCTCAGATGTTGCAATTTCGCGTACTTTTTCACATCCTAATGTACAAATATATGCAATTGCATAAATTTCTGCTAATGATGGATGATCATCCATGTGTATGAGAATAGAGTATGAAAACAGAACTAGGAATATCATATATGCTATCTATAAAATAAAAAATAAAGTTAAATATGTAATAATAATTTTAAAATTTTTTAATTTAATTATTTATATTTATATATAATATTATTTATATATAAAACTTACAGCATTCGCCCAAAATTTTGTAATTGGAGCTGTATAAAATTCATACAATTTTTTCCTCAATCTTAATGGCCTACTATTCTTGATATCATAGTAATCAGAATGAATACCATATGCACGATGAATTCCATCATCATTATCAGTTAGTACTTTACCATTTTCTTGTACAATTGTTTCCTTCACAATAGTTGTAGTATGTTCGTTGCTAATTAAAGCCTATATGAAAAAATTAAAATTTCAAAATATATATACATATGTTATAGTAGATCATACAGGACATTAACACACAGATAGGAATCTTTTGAATATAATGAGACATATATCAATATGTTCATCTTTACTAATTTTTAATCATTCTCAAAAACCATTTACAGTACGGATGTTGCTAACAAAATAATTAAAAAAATTATTTGGATAGAATGGTAAATAGCATATAAAAAGCAAGTACTAAAAATCCTTTATAGCATTCTAATATATTATAGAAAATAGGAATAGATACATACATTAATTTTTATACAAAAACATAATTATTTCTTATGTTATGTTATGTATGTATCATAGTGTACTATATGATTATGTAGAATTATGAATGAAATGTACAAATATGATGAATTTACAATATATTTTATAAAAGGGAGTATTACTTGAGGTATGTGCAAATTGTGTTTTAGTGCAAAGAATTCCACATCAGCAATAAATAACTAAAAATATTTAATAAATTAAAAAAAGATAAAAAAATAGATGTAAGTATATTTTACTAAAACAAATATAATCAATTGCTACAGTACTAAGAGAATCAGAATATAAGAATCAGATAAAAATAAAAAATAACAAATAACAAGTGCAGATAATATTAAAAATTATGGCTATGTAAAGCATAAATGATTAGTATAATCAAGTATGTAATGCAAGAAAAGTGAAAATTTAAAATATAATTACATCAATATTCCTTTCTTTATGTCTCGATTAAAAATAATTTCCTGAACATAATGTTTTGAATACTAGATTATATTTCAACAATAACAATTATTAAGAATAAATTATCAAAAACATACGACTGACAATGGTTAGAGACTTTTCAACCGCTAAATGAAAAACATCGGTATGATATCAGGTTTAAAAAATATAAAGCTTATATACATATATAAAAATACATTAATTAGTTCGTGTTATTCATACTTTTGTTTTATAAAAATTATACCGATATTTTAGCGGTATTTTTTTTTATCTAATATCACAATATACAATAGTTTTTTGTTAAATATTTATAACAATACAACACGATTTGTTTTACAATAGAAACGTTAGTTATCATCCTCACCGGTACGGATTCCGATACTGAATAAATAGAAGTTTTCCTTGATGATAACTAATAACATAAGAAAGATAGTTGAAAAGTGCACCAGAAAGTGTGAACTTATTGGTCATAGAATCATTGCATTTCAGGTCATTATAGTTATACCTTAGCGCCTTGTTGGCTGCTGGATTTGTTGCGTACGCTCAGGCTCCTGCGCTGACGTTTCTAAAAACAATTCATACGCATACCCACATAGTCTGAATTACAAAAACATTTCAATACCTCTAATAGCGATCGATACACTATACCACATAATATTGGCAAATTACTAAACATCAAACTTTTTCAGACGATATACTTAAGTATACATTTTAATATTAAACAAAATGAAATTATACAGAGTATTTATTACATTGCTACAAATAAAATTGAAGAATATAAAATGCATAGTTTAAATATAATTATAATCTATTCATAATATTTTATAAAATTTGTATAAAATATTTAAATAAATGTAATACACATACAAATATAAAATTTATAAAAATTTTTTTTAACACTGTATAGATAGAATCTACATGTGTATACGTTTTCAAACAATTATTTAAATAACTGTTCAAAACCAGCAACCATATGTATCAATTGTGTTACTGAAAATTATTTCAAAAACACACTATAGTTTAAATAAATATTCAAAAGCGATTATATTTTTATTGCATTTATTCACGTGAAAATTTATTATTTACAAATGAAAATTTCGTTCAAATTATATTGTGAATGGACGAAATTTGACAAAGTTATTCAAAATAATAAAGCAGTGATTGCCACTATGTTCAGAAATAATAATTGCAGCATGAAATGTGTAATGATGAACTTTTATAAATGCAATGATAAGTATATACTATACTACTAATTAATATTATATTCTGAATTTTTATAATTTTTTTACTCATGAATTAAATTCATATTTTAAACATAAAAATCAGTTAAAATTTTTTATTGAAATTGCATTAACTTTATTATATAATTATTTAATATATTTTTATTACAATATTGTTAAAAAAATAATTCATTACCTCGACATCTGGACCTGTTGGTACACCATGTTCTGAATCACTATCTTCTTTCTCATCTTCAAGAGCGATTAGATGTTCTTCTTGAGTTTGAGGCATCAATTGCAATTCCTCGCGACTTTTAAATTCCAAACATATTATATAAAATGGACAAATCAATCCAAGTACGACCTAATAACAAATTAAAACATTATTGCCAAATATAATACAGTATATGTTTTTTAAAATAAATTATCTAAATTATTTACTTTTAAATTCGTATTTTTTCTTGTACGAAGACCACCCATCCACAAATCAGCTAAAATGATTTGACTACAAGGATGTGCTAATAAAGGTCGATGATTGGCCGTGACTGCTAATGAAAGACACGTTTGACCAGACCAATTTTGGAGTTCAGATGTTAATAGTTGTTTCGTTTGATCGTCATCTTGACGATAACAAAAATCTAATAATTCCAAAGCTATAAAAAGATTATTTTATAAAAAATAATAATAATAAAAATATAAATATTTTACTACAAATATTAGTACCAATATTTTCAAATTCTTTTCCATAACTTCGTAATTCATCATAAACTTCTGTTTCAAGATCATCCTCAGCAGCCTCATGTGCCATGGCTTTATACAATTTAAGGGCAACTAATGCTTTTGCTAAAGCTTCTTCTCCATGTTGCCACATTAAGAGAGCCATTTGCTGACGTTTCGTTAATACAGCCCATATAAGCAATTCATTGAATGGATAATCAAAAAGCGGTGTATCTCTATTAGCCGGCAACGTTTCAGCAAGCAAACTCATCGTTAAGCTATCCTGTTTGCTACCAGATCCTGAATAGTAACGAGTAGTGTTACCCAATACACAGCTATTTCGATGTAAATGTTGAGGATGTGCTCCAGATCTTTTCATTACTTTGGTATAAATCATACGGAATCTCCTGCGTGTGTATTGAGATCGATACGCTCCACCCATTAATTTATTTATTACAAGACCGATATCATGTAAAGTATACATATAACCTCGTGGAATATTTGGTCGAACGTCGCGAAGAATGTAACCCAATGTATTTGATGGACCTTCTTTCTAGATTATCAATATAATAAATATAATAAATAAAATAAATATTAAATATAATAAATATAAAAATAACAAAAATAAAAAACTTACGGTATTATATAATTCTTCGAGTCGAGGTATAGATAAAAATTTACGCATAGAAACTCCATTTTCTAAAAGAAGTTTCACAAAATCAATACGATCGTGTTGCAGAGCTTGCATCATTGCCTGCTCTAAAGCACCTGGTGGCCAATTTTGCCCATATACAAATATTTCACAACGTGCTATATCTACTCTATTCCAAATTAAAGATAATGATAGTTGTTCAGCTGGGGATAATTGTTTAGACTTAAATAAAGCTGTTAGAATCGTTTGATCGAGTTCTTGTGGTCGCTCTTGACTTATTCTAAATACTGTTATCTATAAAAATTTAATTTTATTATTTGTATATGATAAATTATAATTTATCTAATTTATTTTTATATAAAATAATTAATAAAAACTTACCAAGTGCTTCTTACGCGTACATTGTAGTAATTCAGAGTACAATTGCGATGCTTGTTCGGCAGATACTTTGAAAGTGCGTTTTATTGTATCTAAAAGATGTTCTCTCATACTTTCTAATGGTCCCTCGATATCTGCGTTTTCTCCATCTCCTTCAGATGCATATCTAAATTTTTTTTTATCATTATTTATTGACAAAATATGATGATATATAAAAATATATAAAAAAAAGTTGACCATGGTTATTATTACTTATGCATAAAAGCAATGAGATCAGCTGCGCGACCCGAGCCATCACAGACTACTACAGGAACAGGTGGAACGTCTGTGACGTATTCTAAAACTGATCGAATTGTATTTGTACCTCCTTCGATGACTAACGCCACAACAGGAATACTGCTATGTGTATCTATAATGAAAAATTTATTAATCATAAAAAAAATTATTAACGAAATTATAAACGAAACGAAATTATTAAAGAATATAAATATATTTACATGGCTGTAATTTTAAATTTGAAATATATTTTTCTAATCTTCTACGTAACACAATTTCTGCACCATATCGACCACCGGTACCGTTATCGACTAATAAAAAATATGCATGGCGATTGTTTAAAACTGCATATTTAGACCTGTATAATTACATTAAATATCAATAATAATAAATAATATAAGTAAATATTTATATGAAATTATATATTAACTATTAAAATTGTTTTACCATGGAGATGAAAGGCAATCATAAGATACTTCGCCTCCACGGCCTACAAGTTCGTGACTTTTATCTAAAATTCCCCATGGTGCTATGCCAATGCTTACAACACGACCTTGTCTTTGAGATCTTTCTAATAGCAGAGCATCTCCAACTTGTCTTGTTACACCTAAACATTAATATGATATAATTATTAATAATAATAATAATAAATATATTAATAATAAAATTTAAATGATACGAAGAATAATCAATCTGATTAAATATTTGTTTTAATCTACCTGTATTGGTTCCACCTGTAAATATCCATGCTCCAGTTGTCTTTGCAGCTTTTAATAAACCTTTTCGCAAAACTTTTTTCAAAGTAGGCTGTAGTTCGAAATTAGAACGACCACCGTGCACAGTTATGAGTAATTTAGGTAATCCCAAATTCCATTCTCGACATAATAAATGTACTATTGGTTCTGGTCTTGTATCATAAGCAAGTCTCACATACTAAGAACGAAATATTAATACAAAAAAATTAATATGCTGCTTCAAAATATATATATATATATATATATATTATTTTTTTTAATTACTTGGGCTTTAGTTGGATGAGGTCCACCTTGAAACTCAATGGTACCATATGCATCTGTAGGAAATGGACGCGTATTTTTAGCGGGAGACCATTGTTCCCGATCTTTTTCTTTGGTATTGCTAAGAGTGTAACTTTGAACATCTATACCAACTCTGCAGTGATGAGTATAAGAATATCCACAACAACATCTATAATGTTAATAATTATTTATTACTATGTTTAATAGAATAAAGAATAAAGAAACTAAATATATTTTAAGAATAAAGAGATTAGATGCATTTAAGCATAAATAAATAAATTTAAAATATATAAATAAATTTTTTTTAGATGCATTTAAATATAAATAAAAAGATTAAAACAAATGATAAGTTTTTCCACAATATATAAAATAAAATACTATAGAATATTTTTATATATTTTATTTTATTTACCTTATTGCATCTAATCACTTTTTTTTCAATACAAAAGAATTTCAACATATATCAATTCAATTTATAGTCTAATTATATGCTAATTATATTGCAGAAATAAAAATTCGAATATTTTATAATATAATAATTTTTATTAATATTATTTTTATAATAAGTTTGACAAAATAATCTAAATACTGTAAAATATAATATTATCATAATAGTTTTATAAATATTACTTGATTATTTAACTGCATAATGTTGAATATGAATATGAATTTAAGAAAATATATATAATGAATATGAATTTAAGAGAAAAAAAAGTGTTTTATGAAAAACAATAAATAAAATAAATTAGTAAATATTAATGAAAGAAGAAATAATTCAATAAATATGTAATGCAATTTTACTGCAAATTTTATAATATACACTATAAAATCTTAAAATATAATAGTTCCTTCTGATACAAACCATTATTGGTGAGAATTATAAAGAATGCATGTAATGTATCAGTATTATTAATAATATCTTAATGTTATAAAAAAAAATATATAAATAATTATTTTCTTTTTAAAGCAGAAATATATTTAATTTAAAAATATATATTTGCAGAAGCAATATTAAATATTTTTAATAAATCTTAATATTTCTTTTTTTATTTATAAAAGAATGCGAGATTCCCAATCGCAACAACAATGCAAACCCACAATGAACTCTCACCTGGAAGTGGTAATCACATCATATTCAGCATTCTTATCTCCTTTTACTTGCATAAACCTATAAATGGAATGAAAGAAAGAAAAGTAAATGAAAAGAAAATGAACATAAAGAATTATGTTAGTAATGACCTGGAAAAATTTTGAAATGAGTTTTCAATAATAATAATAATAATAATAATAATAATAATAATAATAATAATAATAATAATAATAATAATAATAATAATAAAATAACTTAATTATAAACATTATAAGTAAAAGAGAAAAGAAAAAGAAAAAGCATATTTAAAAATAGAAATTGAAAAATAGAATTTTTAAAATATAAAATTAAAATTACAATTCTAAGATCATCATCATTGTTATAATTATTCTGCTTATATTGCCTCTGCAAAAATATTATTGGTTTAAAAAATATATATATATATATTTTATATTTTGCAAATCTGATAAGAAAATATTTTTAACAAAAATATTTAATTTATAATAATTTATTGTAATATATTATTGTAATAATAAAAATCTATTGTTTATATTTAATCTTTTATTTATAATTGTTATTATTTAGAAATTATAAATTGAATAACTAATCTAATGTTAAAAAATTAAGTTTTACAAATTAATATTCCTAGAAAATCAATCTAAATTTTTTAATTTAAAATTATTTTAAAATCATATTATAAATCATTAAACTCATCTTAATATCATTTATAATTCTAAAATTAAAAATATATAATATTGTTTAAAAACTTCAAAATGATTTTGATTTTTTATTAAAAAAAAAATTTTTTTTGAAATTTATATTATTACAATTATAAATTAATTACTGATTAACTTTTTTTTAAAATATTTTTTCATCAGATTATTATTAGAGAAATTTAAAAAACTAATGTTTGAAATTATTTCAAACTCTTCATATATCAATGTATAACAATTATATTTAACAAAAGAATAAATAAATACATAAAAATGTATAATGATATCAAGAATGATATATATTAAAAAATAATTCAATAGTTCATTCAAAGTACTTTATAAAAATAATAATTTAAAATTTATAAAAAAATTAGAATTTATAATAATTTAAATCAATGTTTTAGCATATATTTGACATTATAAATATGGAGATGATAATAAATGTAAATATAAATTTATTTTATTAAAATATTTAAAAATAAAAAAAAATCATAAATATTATATTACATACTTGTGTTCATCATCTGCACTTGGAATAAATTTTGAACATTCTCTTTTTTGAAAAGTTGCCTCTATCCAACTGCGTTCAGTTGCCTATAATGTATTTAAATGATTTATTTTCAATTATGAAATAATACATATATATTATGTATATATATTTAAAAAATATTTCACAGTGTCAATGTAATGTTAACATATAAAAAATGTAATGTTCGATTAAAATATAACTAATAATGTGTCAAAGATTTGAATAAAAAATTTTATATTAAATGAGAAGAAGAAAATAAAAAAAATAAATCATGATATACCTTTGCCTTTTTTCTCTTCATTTTAGGAGTACTGGCTCCACAAATAATACTTCCAATTGCCATCTTGATATATACATGCATTCACCTTAACATTAACCAATATACTAACTAAAAAGATAATATCAAACAAAACTAATAGATAGATAATATCAAACAGAAAATAAAAATCAAGAAAAATAATATGAAATAAGATAATATCTATTACATATTTCTATTCTTACATTTAAAATTTTAATTTTTTATAAAATAATTTAAAAAATTAAAACAAAAAATTTCATTTATATTTATATAATTTATATAAAAAATTATATAATATTTATATTATATATTTATAATAAATTAGATTATATTATAAATTAATTAGCTATTAATAATGATAAATCACAAAAACATTATATATTAATATATAACAATTACATAATAAAAAAATATAATTTTTAAAATTTTATTTTAATTTTTAGAAATTTATTGAATAATTATTATTAATAAAAGATCTTATATTTAAAGAAACTGACAAGATATACATGCAATAAAGATAAGATAACTGATATAGATAAGAAAAAGAAAATTTAAATATTCTCATTCTTAAAATGTACTTTTATGTAAAACTTTAATATAAACATTTTTTGATACAACTTAATTTATTTATTTGATAAATTATGTAAATAAAATAATAATTCTTCAAAAGATTATGATATTATTAAACAATTTAAGATCAGAGAAAAGGCAATAAGTATGCTGTTTGAAATAATATTTTAGGTAAAAAACTAAAATAATATCATTTAAAAATAATATCATTTCAAGAAAGAAGGAATAATTGTGATAAAATGAAATGAATTTTACTATAATGTATTATAATATATTATACTTACCATTCGACAACTTTTAGTTTTATCTATCATATCTACATAGAACTGCATGAACTATGTGTGTTTGAGTTTAACAAAATAATTAATATTGTAATTCAAAAATAGAGACTGTGATTAGTAAGTATTCATAAATATTTAACTGATATAGATAAATAAGATTTATCTGAAAAAAAAAATTATAGAATTATTTAAATATAAATCTATATTAATAAAAATATTGATGATAATATTGTAATATATTTTATTGAAATTTAATAATATAGATTTATTATAAATACTATTAAATCGATTTTAATTCATTATTACAATATTACGTTTTTATTATTTTATATAGAAACTTAATTAAAATAATATTTATAAAAATTCAAATTTCAAATAGAAATTTCAATAAAAAAAATTAAGACTTAAATAATAATGGAATAAGTGATTGTAAACGTAACAATTTAAAATCGGCGGGAAAACTCGTGATCTGTCATGTGTTTCTAAATAAGTTAACCTGGATACAATTGTTGCATTAAGTTCTTTGATGAATGAATATAACTTTTATTTTAATGAAAAATAATGCAATTATTAATAAATACGTAAGAAATATTAAAAATATTTAATATCAAATCTATAAGATAACAATATTAATTTATATACATACATACCTTAAAAGTATGCGAATGAAAATTTTCAAGTAATTGTATTCATCTCGTATTTATCTAAAATATTGTAAATGCAAGAAAATTACAATTCACATGCATTTGTAATTATTTTGCAACACTTCTTGTGATTCATATGCGTTTTTTTATGTCACCCAAATTAACTGTTCAGTATTTATAAATAATGTTTGCATCTTTTTTACATTATTGGACGTTTTATTAATTAAATTCTACGTTTTGAAACGTGGTAAAATGTTAATAAAATTCTGAAGAAAATATGTGAAAATAATGAAATATCTTATACAGAAAATCTGTTCCATTATCCACGCATCATCCCTTGGAAATATCGAGCTTGCTCCCCTGCATCGTTACTGACAAAGTAGGCCAAGAACAAGGTTAACTTTAACATAGACTCGAAAATATCAGCAGTAGTATCAACTGCAAAATTCAAAAATTTGCATAGAATTAATTCTAATGAATCGTTCAATTTTATTTATTGTAATCATTTTAACATTTAGTATGATGCAATATTCTTATGTTTTTAATTATAAGACATGATTCATCAATAGAATACGATTTTAATTAAAATGACCTTAAGATTTATTAACGTTATTTCTATTAAAGAAAAAAAAATATATATATATAAATAAATATATATATAAAACATAAATAAATTTCAAACATATAATTATAGTTATATATTATAAATAAGTTTTAAATTATATAATTAATAATTCATATATATAAATATATTATAAAAAATATATTGCTATTGTTTTTTTTATTATAATATATATTAATTTACCTGTAATCAATTAAATTTGAATATATTAAAATATAAAATTTTTTACATATTTTTAGGTAATTATAATTTTTAAATAACGAGTTTGCAAATTAAAAAATAAATTGTTTCAAAAGAAGTTCAGAAATGAAAAAAATTTTAATTTTGTTTTTTAAAAATAATAATAAAATAACTTGTGAATTTTTTGAATTAGGCTATATTTACAATAAATGTTTACAATAAGTGTAATACAATAAAAATATAAAAACAAAAATATTTATTCTGGTTTTTCAGGACATGATACTTTAGGTTTATTAGATGATTCTGATTCTGTTTTATTGGCTCTATTTGATCGAAGAACTGCACCTGGACTAGGATATGGTCTCATTTGATAAAGTGGTCCTGAAGCAGTTGTATCTGCTCCTGTTTTAGCTTCATTATGTCTTGCTAAACCATCAGACCATTTTCCTCTATAAAAAAAAAATTTTAAATTTGATGTTTTATGTTTAAATATATATATTATTAAAAAATATTACCGTGGAATATCACTATATGATGCTGGATCCATAGGATCCAAAGTCCTATCTTTCTTTTCTTTACTCTCGGATCTTTCTAACCTTTGATTTCTTTTAATATCTGTTGATTTATGTCTTGATCTATTTTCTGGTTTCTTATCCTTTTTCATATCTAGTTCATCCACCTAAAAAAAATTAATAATTATTTACAATAACAATTGAAATATATTTATGATATTAAATTTTGAAAAGTTATTACTAACTTCCATTGGTTCTTGTTCACTACCACTATCATCACTTGATATATTATCATCTTGATCTGCTGCTTTGAGATGTAATTCTTCCCTTAATTGAGAAGCTGGTTGAGATATTTGACATTTTGGATGACTTGGTGGTAGCCAAGATACTAAATCAGATGACCAATCCCAATAATAATGTTGACCCCTATTGATAAATTAAATATTAAATGCATATTAGATATAAATATTTAAAAAGAAAAACTGATACTAACGATCCAGGATCATAAACAGCTTTCCATGTTTCTGGTAAAGGATATCTTTGTATTAATTTTATTTGTTTTTTTAAATATTTATCAGAAGGTTGTACATGTCCAAGACCCCATAATTCTTTGCATTTTTTTGTACATTCATGATAAATATTATATTTATTTGGACAACCACTATATCCCTAAAATTAGAAGTTATTATTTAGAAGTTAAATTTAGAAATTATTATTAAACTACATTATAACATATATTAAAGAAAATTACAATATTATTTATCATCGTGCAATAAATAATAAATTTTTTTCAAAATATTTACCATAAATTTTTGTGATATATCAATTTGATTAATATCATCTTTTGTGCTATCATAATCTTCAGCTATTACTTCTTCATGTATCTTTTTCCTTGATTCTTTTTTTGCAGATTCTAAAAATATTTTATAATATAAAATTTTTATTTACTTCACAATTGTTTAACTAATCTGTTTATAAAGGAATAAAAAGAAAACAAAATTGTTATTTATTTTATACAAATAAAATTATACCATGTTTTTCTGATCCAGAAATGAGACCTCTTTTAGCAAGTCGTGCAGCTAATGCAGCTGGAAGTGGCATTTTATAATCTTAATATTTTTGCACTTCTTTTTTTCAATTGTAGTCTTGATATAAAAGTATTTACACACTTATGAATAAAATAATTGACTTATTTGAATTTTAAATCTCATAAATATTAGTTATCAATCAACTGACATTTAATAATTAAATAATCTTATATTTGGCACAAACGAGATATAGAATAGACGTAAAATCAACTACATTTTCTTGTTTCATATTTTGGGATCAGAATGCTTCAAAGATTTTATTATTTTAATATCATTCTCAATATTATCGATTCGATTCAGAATAAGATTATGACGATACTAGTGTTGGAATTAAAACTAAATTTCAATATGATCATATTCAATATTATAAATATATCATAACTTAAAATAGATTTTTAAATAAATATATCTTGTAAATATAAACAAAGTATAAAATTTTATATTAAAATATATTTATTTTTATAAAAATTAAAAATATAAATAATAATTTTGTATAAAAAGTATTATGCTTTTAATTTTTTATATTTCTAGATGAAATACATACATATAGATAAAGACAATAAATGCTGGGAGAACTGAAATAGAATAAGAATTAATTGCTAGTGCCATCTTTTGAGTATTAGCGATATCTTTTTAAAAGTAACGTAAAATAAAAATTTAGGATTAGCGTCATCTTTTGAATATTAAAAACATTTTTTTAAAAAATCTTAAAACATTCAAGAGATGGCTAATCTTTAATTCTGTCTTCATCTTCTAATAAATTTTAATCTTCTAGAAAACTAGAAATTTATTGTATTTTCAATTTTGTAATAGAAGAATATATATAATATATATAATCAGATAGAAGATGGCATGTAAAATTAATTTTTTTTTCAAATTAACTTTGTATTAAGAGTACATAATTGAACAAAAGATAGAATGCAAAATTTTTCAGAAGAAATTTCGAGAAAGAAATTTCCATGATATCAAAATCTATTTGATTGTTTATATTATTTATAATTCCTGCCAGAATAAGCAGAAACCCCCTATAATCAGATTTTGTGTTCTTGATAACACGGTAGAATGACACAAAAATAAAGCTCTAAGCTCTAAGAATTTGGATCACATTGGACCACACAAAAATACATTGCATAGTTAATCTATTCTTGTATGTAGTTTGTGCCATGATTACATTTCATCTAACATGATTAAATTTTATTCACTCGATATATATATATATATATATTAAGTACATATACGAGAATATACAAAAAAGATATTTTTAATTTTGTTTTTTTTTAACTTTACTAACTGATTAGATTAAATAAATATGTTTTAATAGAAAATATGTTTCTGATTGATATTTAAAAATATGGGATACAAAGTTTCCTAAAATATAGTCTGTTCTATTCTGTTCTATTCTATGGTTTTATTTTTTCTGTACTACAATCTTAAATTAAATCAGAATATAAAATAAAAAATATAAAACAAAGAATACATGAATATAAAATAAATTTAGTATTTAATGCATCATTATATTTTAAAGTTTGAGATTCAAAAATTAAATATAATTAATTTCGCATCATTTCTAACGTTAATTTAATATAGGGATTAAATAATTAAAATATTATTAATAGTTGGTATTAAATTTGGGTGTTAAAGAAAAAATTATAATTTGATTTATAAATTTCTATTATCAATATATATATTATTCACAATTACTCACAATTATTATTATTATTTACTAAGTATATTATAAGTTATTAATTTATAAATTTATTATATATAATCATATTATATTTATTTATTATAATTTAAATATTAACTAATTTATATCATATATTTAAATAAACATGGAAAATTACTGACATTTCTTGAATCTTTTCTTTTTTAAACATTATTTAATTCGATATTTTATATATTTAAATTTTGTATTAATTGAAAACGACACTTAAAATTAATTATCTTGCTATATCTATCTCTAACACTTAAAATTATTATCACATGATGAATCATACAAATTGCAGTGGACGTAGAAAAATTCTATATCATATGTTTTTGATAATATTAATTATCTATTATTAAATTAGGTGTTCATCAAATATTGTGCCTATTTTCAAAAATATAAATGGATTCAATGGACGAAGATATGTTCGCACTCAGTGACGATGAGTTACCAATATCAACTTCAAAATGCAATCCCGTAGAAGAGCATTTAATGAAACAATTGTCAGATGTGCAAACTCGAATCCAGAAAACAAAAAATGATATTAAAGAAATTCAAGATATGACAAAACATGCTTTAGAATCTTTATATAATCAAGCTTTATGTGGAAAAAATATAACATTAGATTGTGATAGTGATGTGAGTTTATTATTTATTTAAAAAAAATAAATTTTTTGAAAAATTCGGAAAAATATCTTTTTTTTCGAAATATTACTATTATTTTTATGTTATCAGTTATATATTGATTATACATATTATATATATAACTTAAAAAAAAATAGTTTATATTAAAATTAATGATAAATTTTATATCTTTATATAATATCTTTTATATTTTTATATAATAAATTATATAAAAAGAATATGATATATTTATAATATTAATATTAATTTTAATCAATTTTAAAATATATTAAATTTTGTATATATAATTTGTAGTTGTACACTATAGATGGTCAACCAGTGGTAAAGAAGATAAAACATAAATCTAAGTCCTGTGAATATATAGTAATAAAAAGTAATTGGAAATATATTTTTTCTGACAAATGGGTTATTGGAATAGAACTAATGAATAATTCAGAAAAGTAAGTACATTATTGATAATTATAGATAAAATATATAAATAAGTTTTGATTTCCAAGAAATACGTTAATGATAAATATTATAAGAAATTTTTACAATATTCGTAACTTATTATTTTAAAAAATTATAAGTAAATAAAGTAACAAAAATAATGTCTTACAAGTAAACACATTGACAATGTTTTATTATCAAAAATTATTTATATTTTATTTATTTTATTTTGAACAAATTAAATATTTCTTATATATTATTATTATTTTATGTTATATAATTATATTATTATTACTTCATATTCTTAACTAATTAAATTAAATTATAACTAAATTATAATTTTATTCAAATAAGATTAATTTTCTATATAATTGTTTTTTTTTCATTTTTTATATTAATATATAATTATTGTCATGTTGTATTTATAACTTAAAGTTGTAAGGGATTAATTTATTATAGCATTTTTGTTATTTTTTAATTTTACAAACAATTTGATTTTATTGACAAAAAATATTTTAGTAATTTGATTTTCATATTAAATATAAGTACTATATAATATTTAAAACAATTATTAAAACTTTATATAAAAGTTGTTTCATAAAGATATAACTCTACTTAACACAAAAATCTTTAAAATATTTAAAATATAAGTAAGCAATAGAAAACTTTAAACTCATAAATTTTTAAATATTTGCATTTGGAAGTTGCAAGTCTTATTAATTATTAATTACATCTTCTTGTGAAAATACTATTATCATTGGTACAATGATAATAATAATCACTTCAACAACGTTCATATTAATATATGTATACATATGTAATATTTACATATATATGTATGTATATTTACATATATAAAATTAGAGAAAACATATATTTTTTAAAATACAATTAAAGTATATTTAATTTATCAAATAAAACAATTAAAGTATATTTAATTAAATTTTGTTTCATTAAATTGAAATAATTTGGAATAAAAATTTTCTTTATACATATGTTACATTATATTCTTTGAAAATTATTTTTATATTCTATTTAGAAATGCAAAATATTCTATTTCGAAGTATTAAATTATTCGATTAAGCACAAAAAATTAACAAAATAAGTATTGCTCTTAATCATAAACATTTATGTACTAAAAAATTCATTGTTATGTATAGTGTTTAAGTAATGGAATATTTTTATAGGTACGAAATATTTAAAATCATTTTTACGTTGATTTATAACAGTTTACAAATGCTTAATCGCCTTAGGCCTTAACAATTTAATATATTGTAACATTTTATTTATTAAAAATTTAAATGCAGCAGTGTTTTGCATGATTATTGTTTATTCGAACAATTTTGGTATGTTTCTATTTTTCATCTTAACTCGTGAGATATTCTATCAAATAATTTCGTTGTAATTGATATCATTTTGATATCGCTTTATATGATTTAAAAAAGACAAAATAGAAGAAAAACAATTCAAACGCTGATGCGTTTGTTATTTATCTATAAAATACTGTCAATTTTTACAGATTAATATCGTGTTTTCATCTCTTCCAAGTGCTATATATTCATCAGGAGAATAATCAAAAAGCACAAAATCGTATCTGAAATAAAATAGGAGTAATAAGAAAATATTATACGTACTATAATAATAATAATAATAATAATAATAATAAATACTATAAGTATTAAAGTACTATATATAAAAATATTATATATAAAATTTTTGAAAACATATTACCTAAACATCTCATAAAGATCTTTAATTTGAGATTTCGACAATTGAGCGAAATAATTCTTTATTACATCCTTCGTTTGAACACCTCTTGTAGGATTTTTCCATTCAGGCTTAATGATATGTCCTACATGGGCTTGTTTTATAAGATAATCTTGATCTTCCTTTAAAATTAGTCAACATTCTTTTCAAAGTATAAGATGAATCAATTGTATCGATTTATTAAAAATTCTTTAATTGAATACTTACGTGGAGCGTTTCAAATTTAGCAATCACGTCAAATCGTACTTGACATGGTGTGCAAAAAATCACAACCGGAGTCCAATGCATATCAAGCTCATTTCCTGCTTTCCATTGACATAATAACCATTGTACAAATTCTTCAAAAAGTGGATATCTTGGACCATGTCGTCCATTTGTCTTTGGATCCTATGTAATTATTTAAAAAAAAAGAGTCGTAAGAGAAAATCAGTTAAATTAACAGAACATCAAAATAAAATTGAACTAAAGTAATCAAATTTAATAATAATAAATTCTTACCCTAGATCTATAGTTCCAAACAATATGAGCTCCAAGATTACTATGAAATGTGTGTGGCAAGCTGTGCTCCAATTTATCTCTGTAGGCACTGAGCAATCTCTCAAACGGGTGCCTTACTATCAAAAAACTGATACTGTCATTTAGGAACTTGTTCAACTCATCTGCCGTATATCTGGGATATTTCTGCCTTGCTAAAGAAACAGGTACTGCTTTTGAGGCCTTTAAGAATTGCGGGCTATATCTAAAAAATTTATAAATAAAATTTGTTAAGCAATAAAATTTG